TTAATCTCATCTTTAAACAGCTACTGTTGTTACAGAAACGGGTAGCTAAAATCAGCTTAAAATAACAACACCTCTTTACTCTATTGGAAAGATTGCGTAATCGGTATCAATGTTAATAGTTGTTGTGACAAAATCATCTCTCAGTTTGAAATAAGAAATCTTATTTTAACAAATTGATTTTAATCACAATAAATCTTATTACATAACATGAAAACACGTTAAATTTACAAATTGGACATATAAAACACTTCTTTTCATTTCCAAACATGTTTAAAACATAACTTGTCTCCTTATTCCTCAAAATTTTCCTGTCCTTTTAAAGTATATTGTATAAATTTTCTGTCTTAATCTAAATATTTTAATGGCAACATTATAATAATGGGTACAAGTTAAAGATGTCAAAGATCTTAAAACGCTGAATTTATCATTATTTTTATCAGTTTTATAGAGAATACAGTTAAACTTTTACTTCTGTAATAAGAAATGTGCAATTAAGGCAAAAAAAAAATTCATATTATGTAACTTTGTATTATGAAAATTCATAACTCAGGTTTCATAAAAAAAATTTGTAACAGTCCATTTTGATTTTTCAGGCAGTTATTTTTGGCTTTTTCATATTCATTAGTATTTTGTAAGTCTTGAGGCAAGTTTTTGGAATGTATTTTAGAAAGTCATTTTGGCCTGTCACACACAATCAAATCTTGTTAAAAGGAGAATGTATAATCTTTGAAAATTAATATGATGATCATCAAGACAATTAACTTGTGTCAACTTGTTTGTAATATTTCTGATATAGTAGATTCTAAGACATTCCCCCCCCCCCCCCCCCCTGGTACATTTTGATGTGGCGAACATAATAAGTTGCCCATTAAATAAATTTCTTTGCTGTTTGTTCACTTTACTTTCAAAGTTCCACCAAGAAGATTGAACATGATAAACAATTAGCAGTTTCATCAGATATAAAATAATGTCCTCTCTTCAGCATTCTGTGTGTGTGCCAGGGCCAGGAGAGGGGGTGGGGTGGAGGGGTCTGGCAATAAAGCAAGTCTTGTTTCAAATCCTACCTAGTGAGTAAAGATATGCGATGTGTTCATCTAGACTAGGATCTGTCAGTCGCTGTCCACTATGCATCTGTTCCAACTGTTGCTGGGTTGTAGATGAGTGCGGGTCATCCAGCGTAAACAGCTCTTTAAGTTCATATTTACTGAAATATCTGTAAGTAAAAGTTTTACAAATATTTTCTGAAATATCTATAAGGAAAAAAGTTCAGCATATAAATATCTTTCAACAATCAATACAAATTTTGTATGCATGGACAAAATTGTTTTTTTTTATGAACATTCTAGTTTCAAGGTTGGTAGGCATTGTTTATAATACAGACCATGCAGACAATCATGATAACTTAGATTATATTAACATTTTCTCCATAAATGCAATACATCCTACAACATTATAAAATAACTAAGCTGTTGGTGTTAACAAATATTTAAATTAAAGTATATTACATATTAAATATTTCTCTGCTTTGGTAGTTTAGCGCGGAGGAAGGTAGTCTAGTACTGGTGTAACTCTCCAGGAACGATGGTTAGGAAACTACCCGCCTATATGACTGAAATACTGTTGGAAAAAGGCGTAAAATGAAACAAACAAACAAACAAACAAATATTTCTCTGGTAATCTCTGAGGAAAAAAATGTATCATATATGCTGAGGTTATACAGTTTACATTTGTCTTATATGCTAGTTAAAAAGCATTTGAATTTTATTTTTCTGCGTTATAAAATTTGCCCATAGCCTTCTCCAATTGCAGTTAGTTATTATCAAACACCATATGAGTATCAATATTGGCATGTAAACCTTCATATTCAAAACAGTCTAAGGTAGTCTTCTTTTTTTTTTGGTATAATTTCTGTAAGTCCTATACACCTGAGATTCATAATTCTTACCCATTATCTTTATGTATTTGTTTACACAAGATCCATAATTCTATTCAAAGTTACTATGCAATAACCTAACATGAGAACATGCAACGTAACTTTGCTGCAATTTTTTTTTTTTTCAGAAATAACCCAGCTTCTTAAAAAAGACTATTATGAACCATAAACATTTAAAGAAACTCCACTGAAGTTTTTTTTTTCTCATGTTGGGACTCAAATCATTTTTTTTACAAGATTTTCATACAAATATGTCTCCTGGCTGCTAAATATTCTTTAACAGTCATATTTAGCCTGCCAATTTGACCTAGCTTCTTTCATATACATTGAAACCCTTGCTTTACACAATGTCTTTCTCTCTCTCTTGATATGATTTAGCAATAAATATTGAGACAGAAAGACTAGGATTTGCAATAAAAGAAGGGGACTCTGCTTCTTGACATGCATGATGGGACGGGAAATATTTTTTGGAGATTTGTATTTACTATTATAATTTATACAAATAACTTTGTGTAAATGTTCATATTATTTGCTCACTTTGTTTTCACAAAATAATCATTTTCATTCGGCTAGGGTTTTTTTTACATGCCTTTAACTCAAATTGGGCTAAGAACTGCCCTTAAAAAAGTTTTTCAATTATATTCCAAGTTTATTTCTTAATCATCTTCTTCTCTGTATTCCGTTTTCAGTGCCCTTGTTAGTATATGCAAGATTTTCAAAAAAAATTATGTTTGTAGGTAGACCTCCTTTAAATATACAAATTAATTGCATCAAAATGTACCAATAAAAAAATAATAATGTATCCAATTAATCTTTCACAACAAGTACAGATGCCTGACCACCTTCAGTGCAGTACCCTCACAATATACATGTCACAGGATGACACCATACAATGACAGGACACCTTAATTTAATTAACAGACTACCACTACCTAATTAACATGTCATACAGAACACACTAACTAGCAGGGGAGATAACTCGGTGTATAGTGTGTTACTAAGATAAAGATCTTTATAGCTTATGGTTACTAAGGCATATTTCATGAATTAACATAAATTTTTATTTCATATTTTTCCACAATATAGACGTAAATGTTTATGAATTTTACAGTTGAAATCTGAAAAAATGACATGACAATTCTTTATATATTTAAGATTTTCATTGAAGATTTTTTTCAAATACTTTTATAATAATCAATATACTAGGCTCACATAAAATATTTGTAAAATCTTTGAATCTTCCATTCCGGGTATTTAAAAATGCACAAAAACCTGTGATTTCAGTTAATGTTAGTAAAAAGTTTAGCTGACATATAAATGGTTCAATTTTCTAAAAGATATCTTTGCTCCTGTGTTAAAGCTATCATTCTTTCTTTACTTTTTAAACATTATTGTAAAACTTAGTTATGCAAATACTGTAACTTATAATTGGACCAATTTTTACTTTATTTGAGTTCATCATAGAAATATCTTTAATTAATTTCTAAATATCTGAACTGAGGATATAGCAAAAATGATATTCATCTTCAATCATTTAAGCATTACAACGTGTACAAATAATCTATGGAAACATTTTACTCTAGCCTTCACAAAATATGAGAAGCAACAGTATTTAGGCCATACTTAAGAAAAGTAAACAGACAATTTAATTGCTCTAAGGGGAATTTCTCTTAACAAAGTCAACAATAACATCACCTAAATGTGTTAAATTCCTGACATACTTTCTTTTTACATCACAGGGAGGTATTAAACCCAGGGAATCCACTCCTGACTGTGTTATTCTATTGTACATAGCTTATTTACATTCTGATTCTAGTTGATAAATAAATGCATGTGCATAAATATTTTATGGTGATTTTACCCTAAGGGCACCAAGTTTTTAAGAAAAACATGTTTATTACATTATTTACTCTTACTTATACTTCATGTATTTTTTTCTTTCCTATATTGAAAGTATATTGTCACATAACATCAAATGAAAAATATTGAGTTCTTATACAATATTAAGTCATAAGCGCCTTTTAATGTCAATGTCTTTTTCATGCTCTGTGTACTTTGAAATGGAAATTTGGCTGCAAAAAACAGATAAAAGCATGATATTTTCCAGGTCAGAGCTAAAATTTTTATTGATTTTAAGAGGCTAGTGGGATATCATATTATCCTGCCAGCTGTAAGCATAGAATGGCTTAGTAGCCCTTATGCAGTATTTCCTGACAATTTTATAAATTTTGAATGTTGAATTCTGCTTAAGCCGGTGCTAGGGGGCATGGACGGTAACTTGCACTTTCCATTACCGTCTACGAACAGGCTCAACCAAACCGGGTCTGCAACATTCTCAATTTTGTTGTGTTGGACTTTTATTGGGAATTCTTATTTTCACTATTGTATTGATGAAATGCAATGATTCTTTTCTCGTTTTTGTAGTCACAATATCTTTGTCTATCATTTTTGCATTTTTTACATAATTGACCAGTCCTACAATTATTACATGAAGGGACTTCAAGTCTTATGTTTAAAATTTTTACTTTCACCCAATGTTATTTCATTTTCTTTATTGCAAGAAACAATTTTTTAAAATAAGTCTAAAAGTAATATTGCAGGCCATGTCCATTCCCTCATGCCATAATAAATTTGTTCTGCATTGAAGGAGAATTAAGTTTGAACTCATGACAGCAATATGCAGACTTTATGGTGGGCCAGATCATGTGTATGATTAAATTTTATAAAGGCTTCTTTTAACAAATATGTTCAACTCCAATATCCGATATCCGAAACAAAGCTGGTCAGAAGAAAAAAAAGATAAATTGATTTTTGCAAAATGTTTTATCACATGAGCATATATGTAAAATACGAAGTAATTTAATGTGTTTCTATTGAAGGGAGTAACACAAAATTCTTTCAAAGAAAGTTACTTGCATATAATGTACGGGGGACACAAAAACAGTTTTCATCTTCTTATCTTGTGTATTTAAATTTAAAGATATAATTATCATATCAATATAGCAAGTTAATTCAAAAGTCATAGTAACTGTATTATTTGGTATGTTAACATCTTATTATGCAAAGCATCTTGAAAAACAAACATAATTCAAGATTTATATATCTTTGAGTTACTGTTCTTAAATCATCTTTTTTATATCATTTCTTTCTTTTTTATTTAAACAAAACATGTGACATAATTTATCTGGAAATTAAGAAATGCAAAGAATTTTAAAAATCTTCTCATTATAATATGGACATTATATATCAAAACATGTCAATTTTGAGATATTAATTTCAAAGACTTATAAATAATTTTCAAATTTTAAAATATTTTCTTTTGAATTACAATAAACACAAATATCTTTGGCATCTGCCACATATGGCTTTTAAATTCGACCAATCAAATTTGCTCTCCCTATGACAACAAGGGGTCACATGACCTCAGTTATGCTAATCAGATTAGAGTGGGTGTCAACCTGTGACACTAATACTTATCTCCCATTGGTCAGTTTTGCCTTAGGGTTACTATTACCTGACTTTGATCATTTATGTGATAATTTGATTCTTGATTGAGCATGAAAGTAAACAATACGTTTGTTAGAAAACATTTATTAATTAAATGATAATGGCTTCAAATGCATTTTTGAATGACTTCAAAGTAAAACATGTTATAAGTTCAAAGAGTGGAGGAAAGCTGTGATTGACACCTTAAAGAGTTCTCCTACAGGAAGTGGCAGTCTGACATTGGATAGGAAAGGGACAGGAAGTGTTGGTAAGTGGTACTAGTTTAATTAATTATAAATTAATATTTTAAAATATGTTAAGTTTTATTTTTAACTAACAAAACTTTAAATATTTTATTGATATACAGTACTGCCTATTAACTATGGAAAACATAATGCAAGTTAAATGCTTAATTAATTGAAAAGAAAGAACTGAGGCATTTAATATATATAAAGTATTGCATGATATTTTATTTAATATCATTAATATTCAAAAATTGAATTGAAATTGATGTATTACGTAACTTAACAATTGAAATTGATGTATTACGTAACTTAACAAGTTCACTAAATCTTAATGTACTGAAATATATTCTTGAACATAATTATATGGTAAAGTACTAAATGATTCAATGAATAATTATATTTTTGCTAAATATTTAATCATGTAATGAATTAGATTCCATTATATATTCTTCGATAAGAGATTCTTTTTTATGCATTCATGTTTGATATCTGCACGGGTTGACTCATGCCAGGAATAAAACATTTCAACATTAAGATTCTGCTTTAATA